CTGTAGTTGAAAGTACACAAAGAAACACTGACTTGCTTGTATAATTTCCATCTCCAGTAAAACACAGCCTACATGGCAAGCATTTTTATAATAAAAAGTCATTTACAGTAAGCACTATCTTTGAACTTACTGCNTATGTCGCGAGGGAAGACAGACGATCGGACGACGGTGTCCCGCGCGCCTCGGCAGTGATTACGAACAATACGGGGAAAGGCGTCAACGAGACTGTCGTGTGCATACAATGACTCCGTCTCCGGGCTAATGTTTCTGGCCAATTTACGTGGGATATTAGCGAGTCATGTGAGGATCGAAATCGACGCGAACGAAATGGTCATGTTATTTTCACTTCCCAGGGTCGTGAAATGTACGACACACCACGTGCTTTAGTTTATTACTGTGACTTTTTTTTTTACCCACTGCCCACCATTCACGTCTACTTCCACCAAGTTGGTCGTTGGCTAGTGCTAAAACAAAGGTTATCCACTAAATAAAGGCTCGACGTAGTCTACAAACAGCGTTCCTTGTCCTCCTCGTTGCTTTTGTTTTATTTAGAACTCCTAAGATCTTGTTGATACCTGAGTAATAGTGTTTAGGTGTTCTACTTACTGTCCAGGGGGGTAGTAAAATCCACGCCAACAAACCCGTAAACTGGCCGGGGGGGCGCAAAAGAAAGGCGCGCGCCAAAAGGGGGGGCGACGGTTACTAAATAGTTGAATCCGCGGTTGTTGGCGCGCACAAGAACTGGTACAGGATAGAACCTTGAAGACCAAAGAGCGCACACAAGACAAATGTTCGATATGTCCCTACCCGTTCGAACCTACCACCACCCCGCGGTGTCTAGTAACTACATGAACCGGTCGGTCCCCGGCGTCTCTAAGTGAACCTTGCTGTATGTGTGTTTGAAGGTACATGAATAATACATTAATAATTGGTTCTATATGAGTTCAGACGTGTAGAAGTAACTGTAAAATTTTAAAGTCCTTGCTTCAGGAGATTATTCGAGTGATTTGTTTATAGTCAAGTGTCTGGTAAACATAAATTAAAATTGGCTTCACCGTTACAAACAATAATTAGTCCACATTACAATTGTCCGCCTTGAGAGTGGGGGAGTAAAAATGCTGTCTAACCTCCTTTGCGCGTTAACCTTTACAGTACCACGTGAATTCTAGCTGTATTTGTACTTCAGTACTTGTGCATTGGGTCTGTACATCAACAGGAATTGACTTGGATGCTCGTCTGTGTTATGTCCACCGTTACAGTGTGGTTCCGGGACAGTTTGAGACGACAAGGAGTCGCGGCGAGTTTTTTGTGTTTGAGTGTTGTGATCTCTATAGCGTATCTATTTCTGCATCATATGTATCTAAGTGTGCCGTCCTAGGACTGTCAAACACAATGTAGGACTAAAGTTTTATTTGGTTTCAGAACCAAAAATCTTATAATTTGAACAAAACGGTTAAGTCCTACTATCTATGTTGAAGAGAATTCGAACATTTCCGAATTAATCGTTCGCCATTTTGAATTACAGGTGTCGTTCGTATTGTTGTCGGCTACAAAGAACACTCACAAAGGGACGCCTTTGTTTGTGTTCTTAGTTTTGTGTGTTTCGCGCAGTGTCGCTCAATAAAAAGGCATAACCGACGGCTTGCTTTGAGTATATGCTTCTAACCGCGCAAGCCCGTCAGATCACCCCAGACAATGTTCAGAGAGAACAAGAAAAAAACCTAACATATAAACTGATTATATAACATTCCCGTATGATATAGTTTACTAGACACTTTTATGGTTTTGTCTAGTACAGGTAAAAAACAGATAACGAAAAAGGTCGGGACAAAAACGTCCCGACTAAGGACACCAGAAGAAGCCGAAAACACCCCGAACCGTGAATGTCCGGACCGTATACATGATGTCGCAAGGTCACGAAGCTGCGCCGTTACCGGCACCGGGTTGCGGGTTGGGGGGTAAGGGGACTATCCACCTCTCAACGTGGTATATCCGCCTCGTGGGAAAAGACCTGCAGTCTTGTTAGTTATTATCTAGTCGAGGCAACCGCGGGCAAAAATCTCTAAAACCCATACCTCCTTTTACTTCTCCTCCCAACACAAAAGACTGTGAACCACTCAAGGGACTGTCCGTGCCCACTGTATATAAGTAATATTTTTCTGCATGTTTTCACCGTAAAACGTCGTGTATCCTAGGGAAATTAAATAAAAAATAAAAATAATAATTGCCGGAAGAGAACCGCAATCCAGTCATGGGGGGAAGGGTATGATTAAAAAGCCAGTAGTTTTAATTGGACAAAACCGTGTTCAGTATAGAGACCTTGGGGAATAGGTCTAAAAAACTACCAACTGTAGAGTAACACTTGTCAGTTTCGTTCATCTTAAGTTCCCCACTGTCTGTCTTACATGTTGGTCCCGACTTTAAAATACAATATTAACCACGTCATTCAAGGTTTCTATCACGAATGACATTTACTGAAAATAATATTTTTACGAACGGT